TTCGCGCCGGGCGCTGGGGTGCGCCCGCTCGCCTGTTTTTGGAGCGGGAAGTACCCCGGAGCCCCCAGCAGCCCGTGTGCCTGCCTGGCGGGTACCGCACCTCGAGTCGTGGCTCAGCACTTCTTGCCGGGGAGAATCGAGCCCTTTATTTGCAGTAGTAAATTCAGCCTCTGCTCAAACGTGGTCTCGGCTGAAACTGCTGCGGAGTTGCTGTTTATGCGGATTCTGGCTTTTATGGAAACACCTGTTTGCTAGGGAAAGGACCGAGACGGTTGGGCAGCTGTCAAAAATTAATAGGTGCCTCTCCCTAGCAATCTGCACGAGTGAGACGGTGTGTGCCCCGCTCACTTCAACTTGCTCCTTCAAGTAATTATCAGAAATTTTCCCAGCTGACGGCCACTGTTCGTTCGGCACAGGACAGTACTTCGTTGCATGCGAGTCATTCCTCTGCTGTGAGAATAGGCTGTATCTGACAGCTTTGGAGTATTTGTGGCCAACGTCAAATTCTAACAGTTTGTATCGTGCAATAACTAGGTACTACAATTTTATTTTAGAAACACGAGATTTGAATTGTTACCTCCTTTGGCAGGCGTCTCAGAGGATTTCACTGTGCCGAGTGGCGTTCTGTTCGCCATGCAAAGACATTCACAAGCCATCTAGAAGCCTTTGCCACGTCAGTGCTTTGTAAGCTGGGCTCCATAAATTTAGTAACATAGGAGAATCTGGAAATGCTGATGAATTGCTTCGCTTGGGTATGATTTTTTTTAATTATTTTTAAAGAAGGATTTTATGTACTTTGTTTTTATTTGAGGACAAACTGAAATTGGTACTTTCTCCTTGAAGGTGCGCTTGCTAATTGTTCTGCTTTCTTCTACGTGTGTTTTGTCACTGCTCTCCTCAGGCATCCCATGCACTTTGTTATAAGTCTCTCCTTATCTCCCTTTTGTCCATTCTTTTTTCTAGCGTTCATTTTCAGTTCTTCATCTGAGCAAAACATGTCAGGTGTTTCTAAAGCAGTTGTTCTGGCCTCTTTACCCATAGTTTGTGCCCTCTGCAACGGGAAGTCCAGGCAATGAGCTCAGCAGTGGCTAACAGCTAACTGGTAACAGTTAACAGCCCAGCGCGTGGTGATTATCGAGTTAGTAATGAGTCTTCCTTTAAGAACACACATACCCTTTAAAATCAGATAGAATATGCTATCTAGTGACTGGAGAGAGAATACAGGATGGTGTCTGTAGCTCTCAAATACTGCTCTGTGCCTAGATTAATTTCTTAGTAACAGTTGAATCCTATGAATTTAGAAACCTGCGTGGTGTTGTGGACCAAACTGTCTTGACTCAGGGAATTTAATTTAATTAATTGCCAGTTAACGTAAACTTTTAATCACTGATTTGGCTAGTGACATACAAAGAAGACAACCAGTTGAACACTTGGGGAAAACTCCTTTCCTCCCCCTTCCCTTCACTCCAGACACCTCCCCTCCCCTGGATGTCCCCACAGGTTACACTCCATCCCGTGGGCGAGGCAACAGTGGTGCAGGAGCCTGGGGTTGGTGCATGGAGGTTTGTTTCTGCTGCTCCTTTCTCATTTCTTCTGCTTCCATGTGAGCCCCTCCACCAGCCACGTTTCCCTCAGGGGTGTCCCTGCCCCGGCGTGGGCACCGCCACAGGCTGCAGTGCTCTCAGGGGTCTCCCTGCTCTGGTGCAGAGAGCCTTCTTTGAAAAGCGCATCTCCAGCCACATTCCCAACAGTGTCCCCTTCCCTGTGCCTCCCCCCATGTCTTTTAGCATGCTGTCACATGCCTCCTCCTGTGCTTCCTGCTGCAATTTCTGCCATCGGCAGCTCCTCCCTTTCTTTCTTAAGCTTGAGCAGAAGCACTGTGTGGTCCTCTGATGAGTTGGAGTTTTGGCAGGTGGTGGGTATGGTCCATTACACAGCCAGCTGAAACTGGCCATGACCAGTTGATGGCCATGGCAGTTGATGGCTTCCTCCCATGCAGCCCCCTGCTACCAAAACCTATGGTTTATCCCAACGCACGGGTGTGCCAGTTGGGTGATGCTGGGAGAAAGGTCCTGTCGTTGCCTTATTATAGGAGTTCTGGTCTCCTTTCATAAACATAGAAATAAAACCAAACTTCTCTGCTGGAGCTTGCTGAATACCAGCATTGTGTTATGCCACTAGCTTGGTAACACTTCTACAATTGTATTTGTTATTGACTTGTCTGAGTAGTGTCTGCTGCTGTGTAACCACTGATACCTGGGTTCAGAGGCAGCCGGTTTCTGTAATGATCAAGTTCATACATGTTTTTTGTGCCTAAAACTTTCTCAAAGAATTAGTTTTCCTCTGTTTTTCAGATCTGAAGGTAGTAGTTCTGCTGACGCAAAGGTGGCAGCTCCAGTTGCCAGGGAAGAGCCAGAGCTCTGCTCCACCAGTGTGAGTAGTCACTTCTCAGAGATCATTTCACTTCCTTGTTGTTTTGTTTGCCCTGCTCATTCAACGATTTTGTTATCTCATCGCTCGTATCTTTTGGTCTGAATTGCTGCCACCTTGACTTCCATGTGGGATTGTGCTTGTTAGATGAGATGCAATTTCGGGTTTGGGGGAATCGAGCCGTCCTCTCTCAATCCTTGCAAGATGGAATCTTGGTAGAACAAGGGATAATTGAGAGCAGTCATGTTTAACAGAAGGCTTGGGAACAAAAAGTTTCTTAGGCATTAAATTGCTACTGACAGGAGAGCCTGCGCATGCGGGACTGGATGCAGCTGTGGGAAGAGTTGGGAAGAGTGACGATGGCGGTAAATGGTCGGTGTAGTATTGAATCCTGCTCTTCTGTAGCCTGACATGCATGCTGCCTTGGGTGGGCATTACATCCCCTTAACATCTCCCTTCCCAAGTACATATTGTTTCTAGCTGTACAAAATCTTTACTTGATGTTTAACTTAAAAATGCAGAAAGTTATGTGGTTTTCCTGAACTGTTGCAGGGTGCAGAGTCCTTGGAGTGAAGAGACTATGTATTGATATTGCTCTTAAGCAGACAGGAAATAAGCCATTCTTCTTGCTCCTCAGGGCTTTCTGTCCTACACTGTGCCTTAAACATGGAAACTGTAGAAATGAATAGTGTATCCTTGAAACGTCCTTGCTCTGAGGATGATGTGGCTAACGCAGATGAAATTAAAAGACAGAAGATCTCGGAGGAGTCCAAGACAGGGAAGGACTCTGGGCAGAGCGTTGAGACTGTAACAGAACAACCTGACAAATCTCTGCTTGAGGACGCGAAAAGTGAAATAATCCCCAATGAGGAAAGTGAGGAGCAGGAAGATGAGGAACTAGAGGGCAGTGATGAAGATGGAGATCCAGAGAGCTTTGCAGACATGATGAAGCATGGACTGACAGAAAGTGATGTTGGCATAACTAAGTTTGTTAGCTCTCATAAAGGGTTTTCTGGAATCTTAAAAGAGAGGTAACTTTTTGTTTTGTTATGTATGTTAATTCCTTGCATTAAGCGGCTGTTGTTCTCCATTTTCCTTTTCTGACTTGCAGGATGCAGCTGGATTATGTGTGACCACTTGGGAAGTTCATCACTTTCTTTTCCTAGCGCTGAGACTGAGAGAAAGGTTTAATTTGGGACTTTTTTTTTTTTTTTTGTTTCTTCATCTCCCTTCTTTTTTTTCTTCACCTCCTTTCTTTCGTGTAAAATGGAGCTCTGAAGAAAGCACCTGTGTATGGGTAGAAATACATGATTACACTGACCTTTGCTGTTTGTCTTGCTCTCTGGCAGCAGCATACAGCATAAAATTTTATGCAATGCGCCCACCTTTTTGTACCACTCTTCAGTGCTGATACAAGATGCACTGGAGAACGGTATTGAAACCATTCCTCTTCGGTGGTTCTTTGCTTTTCCCTGGCTTTTTTTGTGCTTATGTCTCTAAACACGTATATTGTCAGATGGTCTATTAGGCTTTAAGTTATAGTCTGATCAGTTGTAAGGTCATTTACAAAATATAAAAGGGATTTTTTTTAACTCAGGGTGTGGAATTTTATATTAAATACTTAATAAGATGTTTGGGGTTTAGTACCTTTTTTGTTTAATGAAACTTCTAGGTTTTTAAATTAAATAACATCTTTGAATAAAGCAGAATGCAAATACAAAAACTCACTGAAGTGAGAATCATTGTTGCCCTGACTTAGCAAAGCAGTTAAGGATGCTTTGTTGACACACCAAGAAGTCCCTGGCTTCATATATAGATCATTTAACATAATGAAGTGATATGCACATACTATCTGTGCATTTAATCTTTATATGCAGCGTTAAGCAGTAGCATAATCCTTCACTGGGGAACACAGCCTGTGCTGAGCCTCCTTCTGGGAAATCTGCCAATTCTGAACCGAGGTGACCAAAGGTAGCTGGGTGGTAGAAATGTCCGTGGGCTCATGGTTTTTCTTTGATCCTAGTTTATAACACCCATCATTCATTTAGCCCTGGCACTTTTATGGTACCAGTCACTAGCCTGTCTAGACAGTTACAGATAATAAGAGAGGGGACACACAACGCTCCTCAGGAAGGAATTCTACCAATATGATGGGTTGGTGCACAGAGGTATGGCAAACGGAGGCTTGGGGGAGATACAGCAGAAACATTCCCATGGTGAAGTTTCATACATCTTTCAATATTCATAGACTACGCATTTTTTTCCTTTTCTTTTTTTTTTTTTTTTTTTAGCAATTGCAACATAGACTTGTCCATGCTCTGTTAAAGTCAGGATGTTTTTATTATTGGACATAGTGACTTGATCGAAAATGTCACAGTCAAATTCTTTGTTGCTATCATAGAGCATGCAGAGTAGCTGTTTATTTGAAAGATGTTCTCCAGAACTGAATATATGTAACAGAGCTGAATTTGTCCTGCTTTCATTAAAGAGTGGCTCAGATGCACTTTATCCTGCAGGTTGTTTGAAGTGACAGAGTTTAGTGCATTTGTGTTCGCGTTGTAGCAATGCAGTAGAGTCTTAAAATTGTCAGTAATGACTGGGATTGAGGGTAGGCATTACTGCTCTGCAAGTAATGGAATGGCTCAGCATAACTACCGCAGGTGCTCGGTTGTCTGCAGAGGGGTCTGCTGTGTTTGGATATGCCAGCCTTTCTTCTCTGTTCTGAGGGGCGAGAACAGGTACAGCTTTCTCATGGTTGAAGTTTCTTTTACATGAATTGAATTATGTGAATTCAGAATTCTTGAATGAATTCTTCTAGCAAACAGCTTCTTGGGAAGGAACTTTATGTGATGGCAGATTTTTATTTTTTTATTACAATTTTAATGTGTTTCTTCCCATCAGATACTCAGACTTTGTTGTCCATGAAATAGGCAAAGATGGACGTGTGAGCCATTTAGATGACTTTTCTGTTCCAGTGGATGATGAGGTAAATTTTGAGGTAAAGATTTGATAATGGCTACGCTCCTTAAGCAAAAATATTAAAAGGCTGAAAGTCGTTCTGTGAGGGTTATTGGATGTTTGTTTTTCCCCCCCCAAATATGTATTAGGACCCATCAGAAGAAACATTTACAGTTTTGTCAGATGAGGACAAGCAGCGTTTAGAGGAGCTCCAGCTTCTTAAGAATAAGGAAACTAGTGTTGCCATAGAGGTAAAATTAATAAAGGATACAAAGTTTGGGGTGGGGAAGGAGGAGGCTGAGAGAGTGAGTGAGTGAGTGGAAGGTACCCGCTTTCTAGTGCATGTAAGGTCTAAGAGCGGGTTCAACGTGATGCCACAA